CCCCCCTCCCCCTCTCATCAATGTTATTTCATGCTTTCCTTTTTGAACTTGCTGTACCCAATCTGTAACTTTTAGTTCACAATTTCTACATATTTGGCATCCATTTGTATTTATATAATGTTCATTGTGATACTAAATGTACTTACCCCCTTGAGTTGTGCTGAATGTAACATGGGTTGAGCATAAAAGTTTATATCCTCATTGGTTTAAATTTTTGTAAATCCTTGTGTGCAAGCTTTGATTTTGTTTCTTTGGGAAACTGATAACTTAGCAATTTATCAGCTGTTTTGAGCGAGTGCCAAGATTTATCTGTGTGGGGGTCAGGAAAGTCCTCTTAACTGGTTTTGTAAACTGGTTCTGTCTGCTCAATGTTTATCTTGACCTCTCCCCCTTTGGTCATAAGGTTATCTTAGAATACTGGATTTTACTGACTTGTCATGCATATTGTGAGAATGACAAAGCATATTAAATATTTTTGATCTCATTGTAAGGAAAGATAAACTAGGATGTTTGTTGTCCACATACAAGAAATATATTCCCAATTTTCTTACTAAGTTTTATAATTGCCAAATTATTAATTTTTTTTAATAAAAATAAACAAAATTGAAGATCACCTACAAAAGAAAAGTGGGGGGGTACCACATTCATTAACATGCATTTGATGATGGTAATATTTTGAACTATAATACAGGATTATGTTAATAGTTTGCAAATGAACTATTGGTACTTGGAAATTGGTATAAAATTGTAATTTTTGTTTGTGAAGTACATGTATACAAATGATATGTTGTAATATGAATTACTTTCAGTTCAAAGTTACCCTAATAAGTTGTTCTAATGCAACTACACACAAGCATTGCATTGACACATGCCATAGATTATTACTATCTTATGTGAAACAGCAGATAAGGGATTTAGCCATTCCATGTAAGATAGTGTTAATCTGCAATGCAATGCACATGTGTCATGGCCTTAATGTGATTGTTCTATTTTACTGCAGCTGTTGTGGAGAAGGCAGGACACATCACCCCTGTGCCTGGCGGTGTCGGCCCTATGACAGTAGCCATGTTGATGAAAAACACCTTACTTGCAGCCCGAAAGGAAGTTGTATATAACATTCTGGATCCAGGTGCAGTTGTACAGAAGAAGGCTTCTCAACTTCGACCTTAATATAAAAAAAAACTTCAAGGTGGGGTGGGAGAAGAAAATTTAAGACTGTCGTGCATCTAATGCCATTAGTGGATTTTAAAATCCTGTTGACACCTTTTATTATCTTTTGATATGGTAACTCATGACAGCTGTCCTATCTTAGAAAAATGTTTGATGGTTTGTGTCAACATTAATCGGCCTGAAAGATTTAATTATTGATAAGTTAAATTGCATCAATTGGTATTGGTTCAGGTCACTTTTTGGGTTTTCATCAACATTATTCTTAGCATGGATGGAGATTAATTTACAAAAAATAAGTTGGAGAGTTTGTTAAACTAATATTCTTAGAACCTATTTTACTTTTTGGAAAGTAACAAAATTACTGAACTGAGTTCAGTTTTAGAAGTATTTTCCTGCACGCAGAAAGTCTGAAAAACATCCTTCACGCTGTCTTATTTGCACATAGTGTGAGTAATGAACGCAGCAGTATTATGAGGTTTTAATGATTAATACACATTTTGTTACATAGGCTGCTTTTATTTAAGTGTGCCCTTCACTTTTGTGCCATTTTTTTAAAGATATAATAAAATAGTTTCCACTACATTTCATTGTTCTTATTTTACAATGTATTCTACATTTCTAATTAAACAATGGATTTCACAACACAGTTTCAAATATATTAACATCAACCTTGTGAAACTTTGTGAAAATACAAATGGAAACAAATATTCAAGCACTTTAGTGCAATACATTTTAATAATGAATACAATAAGAAAAACAAATGTTACAAAGTTATGAAATTTACATGCTTCTTTTAATTATTTTGAAGAATCCTTGAAGCTTGTTTACATTTGTGTCTGCTGTAACTACAATGGAAAGCAATAGTGAAAACTTGTCTTTTATTCAAGGAGTAAATTTAAGAATATTTTCTTATGAGCTCCAACACAAGCTGGATAATCCCAAACCAGCAAATTTTCATACTCATAAAACAGTGACATGAAGACAAGTTCAGAAAGAAATCTGCTAGTGTTCTCAATAGTAGTAAAATAAAGAGAAGAAAGTGTTTGAAAGCTAGTGTTGCTACTCGTAGATTGCTTATTAATGTTTCTAATTATTATTTAAAATTGGATAGATGTGCAAGGTTACATTGAAACAGTCAATCACTCAGGAACAATAGGCTATACAGAAACCTTGCGTTCTCTTGAACGAATCCTACAATAATATGCTTTTACTTAGCAAATTTCAACCATTGAAGAACCATGGTAATATAATATAGAAAATTATTTCAAAAACAGTGCTCTTCTATAAAAACAACCACCAATATTTACAACCCCGGTCAAGAATTTTAATTAAGGATTTTCATGATTCTACTACCACGTTCATTAACTTCCCAGTTTCTTCATTAAGCGACTTTCAATAAAAAACAGAACAACATAAGAGAAAAATATGAAAGATTTTATTTCATGTAACATAAATATGTCATCTGCTATTGAATGTAAATTCTATTTCTGGAACCACATATTCTCTCACTGCACACAAAATAACAACATAGTAGTTATCTCACAAATATTACATTCAATGTTCTTTGGTGAAATAGGCACAACCATCTTCGAGAAATAAAAATTTGAATATTCTTTGAAGTGACTTCAAATAAAAAGAAATTTGAATCAATATGCATTATCCACACCATATTTCTCAATGATAATTAATACTTGAGTTTTACTATCTCTACAAATCTGAGTAAAATGTTGAAAAAAATATTTTATAGCATGAACAACATTGTAACCAAGCATTTTAAGTAACGTTACATACCGTCAATAATTATACCAACAATACATTGAAAAAGGAAGAGTAAACAGCCTCTAGTAACCATTTTACAATAATGTACAACAAATTTTGAATTACAGGCAACAATTAACAAACTTAAATCATGTGACTATTCACTTGCAGCTGCTTTAATGACTAAAATCTGATAGCCAAGCAAATATTTAGTACATTTGTTAAAGTATCATTTGAAATACTTTTCCTTACACAGCAAGAATTAGTAACTAATAATGTACAAACTTTGAAGAAACATTACAATAGTTGTGGAGTAACAGTGTATGCTTAACAAGAGCATTTACTAAGTTTCAGAAGAAACGTTAAGGGTGTGAGATGATGTAAAGAAAATGAAACAATAGGTGGGAAGAAACACGTGACTAGATGAGAAAATGGTATATAAGATTTTTACGCAATGTTCATAGAACACACAAGAAATATAATTGAGAACACTTTGGCACATAAAGTTGAATTAATTTTCTTTTGGAAGAGAATAGGACATTTCCAAATACTACCAATTCAAACACTGAAAAAACGATATTCAATTAAAGTTATTTTTCAATATTCAAATGAAGGAAATCTGGGACCAGAAAACAGCAAAACTTAGCTAAGAGATTTTAGTCTACATTTGGTACATCCAGAATCGTTTAGAGCAAGTGTTAGTAAGAATATAAATAAAGTAAGGTAAGACAGTGAACAAATATACCTAGTTTCATTCTTTGCACAGTAGAAATAAAATACAAGATTGAAGAATGACACCAATGTACAGACTACAACTGCAACTTCCCTGAGTCTTTACGTATATTCCAACTATTCTACGTGATAAACAACAAACAATAATTAAGCTGCAAAACAAAGCTAATCTTAAGGTCATACAGGAAATTTTGATAATAAAAAAATAATGAAAATATTATAATTAGGGAACGGAATTTATTGTAATCAAAAATGCCAAAATATGTACATACAGTAGGCTAAGCATTTATTTTTTCCAAAATTGTAAGAAAAAGTATGAAATATATACAATAAAATTTTGTGAAAACTTAAAATGTCTCCATACAAGCATTTTCAACTTTTGGAAGAAAAATGTTAACGGTAAGGTTTTAAACTATATTACGAGTGGTTGAACTAACCTCTACAGATGAAATTTGACACTAATCTTACCAACATAATACAAAATATAATATACAAGTACATACTACATTCCTACAGGGTTGTTAATGAGAAATTGGTTCACATGTCCACAATCGTACCACATGGACAGTGATAAAACTAGGGGAGGAGGGACATAGCACCCAATTCAATGTATATGTAAGGGAACACAATTTATTGATAACAATTACCACATTGATCTCATCACAGGACTACTTCAAGTCCAAACAGGTAGGATTTAATAAACAGATTCTTAGTTCTGCGTCCCTTCCTGAGGGGTTTATGTTTCTCGGTGGGGTGCATAAAGTGTGATGAGACAACGGTCACTAAGAAATGTTTGTCAGATTTCGATTGATTTACGCATGGGCCTTATGAAATATGATCAAGCACTTGGTTGTGATTACTTCTCCTTCATGAACATCTGCTCACCTTTCATTCTGAATATCTGAATTTCGAGAAGCAGGTATTAAGTTGGACTAATTCCAGTGAAGGTCTGAAGGTCACAGATGAGCAGAATTATACTACTTTATTTCACAAGACTATTTCAAGAACAGATACTATTGGCAAACATGTATCTACAATGTTCTGTTTTGAAATGTAAATATATTCAAATGTAACAAAATGCATAATAAATATGTAGTAATAGGTAAAACTGTAATAATACCAAAATATGTAAAATAAAAATGCTTTTATTGCATTCAGAATGATTTGCTAACTCTAAAAATAAATTATGTATTGGCATGAAAATCCGTTCCCTTTTTAAAATCAAAAGCTTTCCAGAAGGAATCAAACTCAGCAGGAATCATTTAACATCAATATGGGAGATCATTCAAGAAAAGAAATGGGTTCCTGAGGAGAAAAATTTATATTTGTGCCACACACACGATTCCTAAACAAGAATAAAGTGTGCTAAAACTTGTGGTGCTAACACAGCACATATTTTCTTGCATTATTTGTAATGGCTCCCCAATATAACACTACTATATGAACCTGCAAAAGTGTTTTCAACCAGACAAATTTTTTCCATGCCACACCTTGAACTTCGGTCCATCTAATTAACTCGCCATGGGCTTTCTTATTCTATCCTAGGAAAAGATTTGGAGCATTTTTTGAGAAAATGGTTTATTTCGGTAATTTTAACCTGAAATTACATGAAAGCTACTCTTCTCAAAAGATCTGATTTTTAAGAACAAATATTATTTTACGCAAAAATCTCAATATGGTAATTTTGAAATGTTAACTTTTTTCCAATGTTTGAAAATACCAGAAATGAGAACAGCCCCACTCTTTTAGTCCTTTGATACATACAATGAGAATATTTAAAGAAAAAAAATCTGAGCAGTTTAAAAAAAAAAAAGAGTTATTGAAAAATTGCGTATGTTTCATGCAAAATTACCCAAAAACACTTGTATTTTTTGAGAAACTGTCCAAGACCTTATTTCAAGTTCTGATCTAAAAAAAACAGATTTGCTGCAGAAAAATATATATTTTCAATATTGTAGTTGTAGAAACACACAAAAAAAATGAACTTTTGCAATTTCTGAAAAATTCGGGATTTTTGCAAAAATGAGACTCACTCCATAATTTTAAGCATCCTTTTTTGCTATCAGAAGACAAAGTTTCATTCATCATCATTTCAAAGTTTCAAAAATTTGGAGCCATTTTTGAGAAAATGTTAAAAATGTTTCAGAGTTAAAATAATGTTCCCTCAAAAATCAAAATGTGTCAAACTACGAAAGCATTGTATCAGGGCCTTAAGCTTCTTTCAACTGATCAAAGAATATCAATTTTGGGAAAAAAAGGCTGAAAGGTTTTGGCGCTAGAATATATTGAAGGTAGGTAGCATTAAAGTCAATAAGAAAAAGAAATAAAAAGACACCCACTTTTTGTTTACTCAAGTAACTTACAAGGATTCACATTTGTACAAGCACCTTCTGTTCCCTTACAGGTGCAGTGCCTGTTCAATATTAACCTATCTGGCAGGTAACCATCACAAATGACTACTCCAGCCCTCACAGAAGCTCTAGGTTTTGCCATCGCTATGGCTAAATTTAAATCAAAGAAAATGATGATTCCTGCTGTCAATCCCCAAAAAACTTGCTGCTCTTTTGAATACATAATTTAATCACATTTCCAAGACAAAACAAGAAGCACAATAACAGATTCAGTTCTATTTGGAAATTGTGCCAAGTATAAATAGCTCTAAATATTCAGAAAAAAGTGCAAAATGGTGATTAAATTGAAGGGAAGAAGAAGAGAAAGAAAAAAAAATGTAAAGAAAAATAATGGAGAAAAAATAGATGTAAACTATAAGTGTCTCTTCTCCAGTGTAACATTGTTTTACAAAGAATAAAATTTATGAGCAGTACAAAAAATTTGAATCATTACATTTATATACACCATTCAAATATTTATATCAAAAGAATAAACTTTGCATTCCAGTAAACAGTCCGTCTTTAACACACATTCACAAAAACATTCCCACAATAGAACACAACCCCATTCTCCATAAAATTTAGAGAAAAGATTGAAGCAATTAAACATTTTAACTCACTAACATGCCACATTTGATGTTTAAAAAGTACATTAAAATCATTATATTTTTAACTTATTTCACAACAAAATCAACACCAGGATAATAAATACCTAATAAGGCAAAACAGAAATAATTTTTAATGCTTCTTTACATAAACCAAAATATGAAAGAATACATATCTTAGGAATACACAAAACACTTGTATACAATCATATTATATATATAGTTGCATTACAAAACACACTTTCCTCACATGTCATGCTCTATTTTTTCTTATTGCCACATACGAATAGATTACACAATGCTCAAGTGGTATCCATAACTGTATAATTCTAATCAGTCTAGTAACTTCTATTTTGATATGCTATACTACATTCTCAATTCTTAGAGTGTACATAAATATAAGCAACCAACGTTGCAAATTCTTCTGAATCATCTAATTTGATTATTTGCAAACACACAATATGCCCTTACGATGCAGCAGGATTCACATCAATGCATTTGTACAGGCGATTTATATAAATTTTGCAACCCACAACAATGATCACAAGAGTTGCAAGATAAATCAAGATATAGGAAAAAGAAAGTTGGAGCCTCATAATTTTGACATGCTGTTCAAAATTTAACATTTGTGCCTTTTGATTTAAAGTAGTTACATTAGGCTCAAACTTGCATTATGTTCACAACAACTTATGGCTGACATGTGAATTACATACCATTTACTTAACAGAAAATGGTCAAGTTTGATGTTTTGGAGTCACTAGTGGACGCTAGGCTTTTACTGCAGTAGGTTTTTCGACTGCTTTGTCAACTCCCTCAGGCACATCTTGTTTGGAGCAGCCACCATGAAGAAACATGTCTGGAATCTCAGTTCCATAATATATTTTGTTATTTTGTGCTATTGCTTCATATTTTTTGAGTTCCAGGTATTCATTAGTTAACAGTAAACTGTTGGCTTCAGCTTGTTTTTTCAATTGGTAGAACTCTGCATCAGAATGTGATTTCTGACGAGCAACATGCATTTCATCTGTAACAATCAGCAAGACAATACAATTTGGAGTCAATTAATAACATAATTCTGTGGTACTAAGGTAGAAACCAGTACGACAAAAAGCTTTATTTTCAGGATTAAGATTTTTCTTAGATTAAGATTTTATTTACAGTAAAGTGGCAAGTCCAATAAAGATCTTTAAAACTAACACCATCTTCCTTTCTGGTAAGTCACTACAATTTCACTGGATAAAGAAAATATCAATTAGCAATTTTTAAAAGAGTTTTTGACATACTGAGTTCTACTTTAGAACAACAGAAATACAATTAGTGGCCAGTAACAGTGATCACTGCCCATCTCATATACACCTCATTAAAAATACTTAACTAATTATTTCCCTGTCACAACAGAACTGACCTTGGGCTTAGATCTATGAACTCTTAGTAAAGTCAGTCTTCCTCACTAGTCAGATTACTCATTTCATACGAAAGTTACATTAATCTGAGACAAACATTGCATTACATTGTGCAATTAGTATGACAAACAATGCTACACAGTAATACAGTTTTATATTAATTGAGAGTTCTAACAGTCTGACGAACATAATGGAATTACACAATATAATTGGAGAGAAAGAGATAATGCTATTTATTTGCTTTCATTCAGAGATCAGAATTATATCAGGTGGAGTAAGAATATAGCAAAACAGCAATAAGCATCACAGATTATGCTACTATTTTCACTTGATTACCAGATATTAATAAACTGTTATTTTGATTAAGTATTTTCTTTTTTGATCAGGCCAATATTGAGACTACACTATACTGGATCAGAATGTGTTTGCAAATCAAATAAAGAAAAAAAGAGAGAAAAGGCATTATGAAGCAGCAATAAAGCAAACCACAGGCTAAAGAGGGACAGAGAGGGGGAGTGGGAAGGAGAGAGAGGAAGAAAGAGGAAGGAGAGGGATGGAGAAAGGGAGAGGGAGGAAGGAGGGGGAAGGGGAGGGAGAGGGAGAGAGGGGGAGGGAGAGAGCAGGACATGATCTGTCAGATTCTGCTAGTAGTAGTAGTAGTAGTAGTAGTAGTAGTAGTAGTAGTAGTAGTAGTAGTAGTAGTAGTAGTAGTAGTATATCAAACTCTTAACTCCTTTCATTTTCATAAGAACTCTCAACATGTTCCAGAACTACTAAAAGAGTTTTATAATTATAGCACTTAATTGATTCTTCATATGAAGGACTCACATTGGCATTCAGCAAGTAGCAGTAGTGCTCAGTGTGTGGTTCCTTTCAAGTGCAGAAAAGTGACATGCATGGCCTAAAGCAAAGTCACTTGCCTTTCACCAAGGAGGTCCGGGTTGGATTCCCAGACGAGATCATGTGAAATTTGTTCAAAGTCTGCCTGCTTCACAGGAGCTAGTCCAACCCCTGTGAAGCATCCTAAACCCTACTCATATTCTAAGTCCTTCCTAATTCTGGACGCTGGGAAGTGACACACAAGCGCGCGGTGGAAAAGACGCATACACGGAAATGCTACTTGGCAGTCCTTTTGTCAAATGACTGCGACGAGACACATATAGACAGATAATATTCATGGAGGAATACTCCTAAGCACGATTGTTAATGGAGGATTACTCCGACATGCAAACAGCTCCATGCTCCCCAATCTACACGCAACAATTTTTTTTAAAAAATGTCTGACCCACTGACCAAGGATTTGGCACTTGCCAAATAGCAAGCAACCCATTCACATTATTTAGCATTCAACAAATGATCACTCGCTACCTAGCAAATACCAAATGTGTGGAGCCACCCCGACACACTCACCTTCAATTTGCGACATGCGCTGCAGAGATTCTTTTTCCATAATTTTTTGGTCAAATTGTATTTTTGCCACTAAGGCTTCTTTCTCTGCTTCAATAATAGCCTTTTTGCGTTCTGTTTCAGCATCTTTCTCCACAACCTTTTGGTGCTGAGTAGATATAAGCAATTTTGTCTTCTCACCTTCCCTGTGTGATTGGTAAATATGGAAAATGCACTAAAAATGTAAATAAGTTCACCAACCATTCCTTCTAATATGAAGCATACTTTTGAAACAATTAATAATAAACAAAAAACAAAAAAAGAAAGAAACAAAGGGGGGGAAATTAATTAAGACAGGTCCTGATTTTTTTTAATGTAGCCTACACCTAATATAAAAACATGTTTTAAACTCTTCATGAAATTACTCTCTTTTGGGAACATGATAGAGAACAAACTTGACCCCGACAGAAAAATGAGGACATGTAGAACTGGTATTGTGTTGAAAATAAGAATCACAAACAAATTTACATTTATTAACTTGCTTATTTGTTCCCTTTTAACTGTAAAGAGACATTACAGAGAGACTGTAATGAGAGTAGTATATTGGTAAACCCTGTATCAGGAACTTTTAGATGTGGGTTCAATTCCCAGTTGTGAAGACCATTGCTTCGAACAATTTAA